AATTTACACCTTTTGGAAGACCACATTCCTTTGTGTGCCAGTTATTCCTAAACTCTTAAGAACTTTATTATCTTTTGATTTACATCTTTGGGAATGTGACATCTGTACCAGTCACCCTGAGACCTTTAAAATGATTCTAAACACAATCCTTAATGATAATCATTCAAATTAAAAATCATATATATTCTTATGCGAGTTTGTGGTCTCTGTAAGAGTGTTCAAATGATAATTTGCAACCAAGGTCCTTTGTCTTCGGAGATCACAGGTCAGATATTTTCTCTTTAAACAGTTCCAGTTTTCCCAGTCTTACACTGTATGTAAATGAAAGATGCTTAAACATCAGTATTGCACATTTTAGTGTCTATGCAAAGAAAGTAAATGTAAGTGTGTGAGATTACTTTAAATAGTTGTAGAAATGGTAATTGAGTAACAAACAAAACAAAACATGATCTAACAAAACATGATCACAATTTATACCAAATTCAGAAGAAAGAAATTGGTCTGTATTTAATTAGCGTGTACATATATATAGTAACAGGTGTGTAATTTTGTCTTTGGTGTTGTTACTTTATGGTTCCTGTTGTGTTAAATGTCCTGTTTACCTTCTCTATGGCACTGTGAGTCTTTTCTCCAGGGAATAAGCTCAGGCCCCGCCCACTGAACAGGTGTAGTCAAACACAACTCAGTCACGCCTTGATAGTTGCGATGGTGCGTCAGTGGAAAGTACCATTCAGAAGGGGGACGGGAGTCGCATTACCTTTCAAGTTTGAATAATCTTGGCATAAAACCTAATGCAATCTGTTAATTGTTTTCATTCATAAGCTTTTCAATTCTATACATAAATGCATGCTGATCTGCACAAATGTAGTCGTTCTTTTCTTCCTACTTTAGTAACACCTCACCTTCTGTTTTGTATCTGAATGGAAGCGTCTGAGAATTGAGTCTCCTGTATCAGGTGTGTGTCGGTCAGAGAGCGTCTATCTGATCTTTGAGGTTATATGTCCAGCCCAACATCCCAGTCTCACTCATGGCTGTGTACCTGAGACGACTGGGCCAGTCTGGGCGTAACTAGCCTAGTGATAGCATGGCATTGCCTTTTGATTGTTCTAATGAGGAGCACTTTGAGTTTGACTCCTCTTCAGAGATACTGGAAATATCTACCTCATCATACAGTGCTGCTGCTGATGATGATGAGGATGATGATGGTGAAGATGCAGAGCCGTATACTCTGGAGCAAGGTACGGTACCTGTGCCCTTTGACAGTTTGATCCTTGTAAATGTTTAACGTCAGTGTGCTGTTAAAGAGATGGACGGTCAAAGTAACTCAATGGCTTTCAAGAATGTTTTGATCTCAGAATAAGACAATCTAAACAGGTTTTTCCATCCTTGATTGGAGATGACATACTTAGTTAAGAGTTTTAAAATCAGATTCCCCTTCTTATTGGGTTTCTTCTTTTCTCAGCCCAGATCTAATCACTATGTGTAGCCTATTTCATGTTAGTCGACATAAACACTGTCATTTGTGTTAGAACATCTTCATTAGTGTCAGTGCTTTAAGGAAATCAGTGAGAATCTTCATTGTATTAATTATAAAGTCTCAGGAAGAAGTGTTACAATGTGATTTAGCTTTTATTATGACTAATTAAGGTTACATGCTGCTTGGGTTTATTAAAAAAGTGCACTGTCCCAGAGCTGTTCAAAAGGTTGATCATGTCAACACTGCACAGATGTCCTCATATAGTGGCACAACATGCATGCCAGCCAGCATGCACTGCACGTACTGTGTCATTATATAACTGTTGTAATGATTGACTATATCAACCTCCTTTTTACTTTTACTGATACATAAACTGATCTGTTAATGCCATGCCTTTGGTGTTGAAAATAATGATAACTATAATTATTATGATCATTTGTAATTGACAATAGTAATAAATATCAATTCATTCAAGTGTAAATAAATGTACTATTTATAAGTAATACATTTATTTTATGAAAGACTTGACATTTTAAAATGTCAGGAATTCCTAAGTTATTTTTTTCCTATTTTATTTATATGTATATATACATGTAATTATAGGCAGTGTGAAATTTTACAGTCACCCCAGATCAACCTGAGACTGGTGTACACAGACACCTTAATTACAAAAAATGTGTGTGTGTGTGTGTGTGTGTGCACACACACAATGATAATTAAATAACACACATACCAAGAATATATTTATAATGCATATTATACTATATAGTATATAAGTGCAATTTAAAAAAAAAAGAAAAGGAAAAGTTTTCTGTATTTCTACGAGTGCAAACTGACTTTATTTGGAGGTTATTTCAGGACAAAGAAAGTCACCTTTATTAACACACTAAACAAGATGTGCAGGAGATTTTAATGCATGGCTGTGTTCTTTGTGTCCAGTTTACACTATGGGAATAATTGTCTCTGTGCATTGGGAGTTGATCTGGCAGGGCATTGTGTACGGTTGGTCTGAGTTTGTTGATCTGTCTGATGTTGAGCGTCATGATACCGGGGTAATTGAAGTAAATCTCTATATGCTGGTGGATGGAAAAAATTGTTTGAAAGACACTGTCCTATGGGAGCTTAGACCAGCAGTCGTTAATAGTCTAACTTGATATTAGATGAGTGTAAATAAGTCTTGCTACGCAGATTAATTCCTTGTGATGACCATTGAACCATGAAAGGTACATAATGTGATCTCCTTCAAATGTGGCGTTAGCTGTGTTTATATTAGTATATTATATAAATTATTTAGGCTATTTATTTTGATCAGTGAGGTGTTGAGATATATTACTTTTTAGTAATAACAGCATGTCTTATACATTGTCAGTCAAAAGATTGAAAACCCCTGCTCATTCTTAATTATGACTAATTTTGCACAATGGGAATTGAGACTAAATATTTTATGAATATTATTTACCTTCCTTTTATAGTAGTTATTTTTTATCACATTGCTTTCTTCAAAATAGCCAACCAATTAAACGTTAGGATTTTTTAACGTTAGGATTTTATTATTATTATTATTGATTTTGGCGGTTTAACATTTATTAAATGGCGATCTGTTTAGGACTTTGTTCTGTATTTTTTGTGACCAGGACAACAGTGGTACTCAAGTTAACCTGAGAGTAATATCACTCCAGCAACAGCATTTGAGATTGGGTGGGTTTGTTAGGTTTACCATTGGGCCGTATCCTATTAGCCATTGTTGTCGTGTGACTCACCGTTCTAAGTTTAACCTACAGTATACTGAAAGCTTGTGTAGGTCCTAAAGAAATATTGTTAACCATGATCAAATAGTAACACTGAAAATGTTCTTTGTTATTTTAGAGTTGATTGTTTCAGGAGAAAACAAAAAAGTAAAGAGCTGATATATTTGAATGAGTGCTACAGGAATGTTTCTGTGTGGTTTTATAGCTGGGTGTATCTGACAGGTCAATATCTGTGTGTTGGATTCAGTCTGTGCTCGCACTGTGCTGTGTGTGACGCAGATGGAAATGTCTGCTTTGCATTTGATTCTTTAACATCACACTTAACTCGAATCTCGGAGAGCTTCTGTAGTTGTGTTGCTTTGAACCATAGGAAGCATTATCACGCTGTCTAGAAGTGCCATAGGTGGCCTTGCCACCAGCAGGACAGCAATTATGTAAAGGTAGTGTTTATCGTGCGTGCTAATGAAAGTGTTTCATTGTTAAAAACCACCTTCTATTACATCTTAAATATTATAAATGAAAAATATACTATAAATTCAGCCATTCCCCTAAAAGTGTAAACACTGGCCTTTTTTCCTTTGACTAGCCATCCATTTACGTGAGCTTAGACTAGACTGTGTTTGTGCAAACAATAGAAAGAATGATTGATTTTGTAGGGTTTTTTGTGGTTATAGTGGCACAGAAATTGCACACTGCAGCTTTAAATGTTAAAATAATGGGAGGGAGTTCCATTACGCATATATTTGTTTTACAACTAATTATATTGCTCAGTGTTATCTGTAAAATTGTTCATTTCATCTTTGGATCTGATATACTGTATATATTATATGATAAGATGGTTTTTTTAATAGGCTGTTAGAAAATTATATTGTGGTAATTATACTTTGCTTCAAACAGACATGCAGAGAGGCTGTGACTACAATAAATCCACTGAGTTTATTTATAAGCTGAAATATGCTGACCTGTTGATAGTGAGAAAATATAATGGTGATAATAGTTGTTTTATTTCCATTGGGATTGGAGATGTTTACTTGGAGAAGAGATCTATTGTAGCAAAAATTAGATTCTGGAAGAAAATGAGTTAGACCATGTAAACAATGAACTGTAAAATAACAAAAAACATCTGTTTAATGTTAGTCTCAGAGCATAATGAGATGCATCAAATTATAAATCATTATTTGATCATTTTATATCACTTTTTTATATCCCTGATTTTGGAAGAGAATCAGAATCATGTGTCATCCATTATGTAAAAGAAGCGCGCTTAATTTTATTGAACTGCACTTCTAGTGTACTTCAATATTAAAAGAAAAATAAAAAAACTGTACTTGCAGATAAAATGAATGAAATAAAAAGCCATTTAAGTGTAGTTTAAGTATATTCCATGACTTTTTCTTAACACATTTAAGTACACTTTTAAAAAACTGTATGGAAAAAATGTCAAATCAATATTTTACATTAAAGTACATTTTAAATCATGTATTAATATTTTGTTGAACTTTAAAGAAGTACACTTATTTTGATGTGTTGTCTAACAAAAACACACACACACACACATATCAAAAGAAATACAGGGCTCTGTTGTGATCCCGGACGAGCCCCCATTTTTTCTAAGTATGCTCAAGTATACTTTTTCACAAGGGAAGGAGCATGTAAAAAGAATGTAGGCACCTCTTATGTTACATACTGTTACTTTTGTGTTTTAAACACTATGTAGATTTAACTTAGAATTGTTTACTTTGAGTTTGTCATTTTTTATTTCTCTGTTTCCACAGTTCTATGTGCTGATCGAGTGGGCCAGATGACTAAGACATATAATGACATAGATGCTGTTACACGTCTCCTGGAGGAGGTAAGCTGTATGAAGTGGGAGTACTAAAAATATATATATATTTTTTTATTTTTTTTTAAATAGGGTTTTAAATAGTTTTTGGGGGTTTTTTAAGCACGTCTCACATGTGATATAGGTCTTACAATGTACCAAAATAGTTAATGATTACATAAGTATGATACAAATCTTGTCTCCCTGTACTGAGTGATGTTTCCATATGTTTGTGTGAGATTATAATTATTGTGTGCTAAATGTAATATCTGGGATATTAAGGAACTATATTTTAATCAATTTGCAGTATATTCAGTTATTTCTGTAAAACATAATGATGTTCCCATGACAACCTCATGCTGAAGGTACAATCACATTCATCATTGCTCATCAAAATTTTGTGGGAGAATTCCAGTCATTTCAATAAGAATTCAGACAATTGGATTCGCCCATGTTGAATTTGCTTGGTTTAAAAGTGAGTTTTGTCTAAGCTGTGCTTCATACATCACTACACTATTGACAATGGACGTATTTTACCTGCAAAACTTTGCTTACATTTTGCTAATATGACTTGCACTTAGGAAAGTATTTAATAGTAATATTTAAAATATAATAATGGGGTGGTGATGGTGCAGTGGATAAGACACATGCCGGGTTCGAATCCACTGTCACCAGTGACAGAGACACCAATGTGTCCCTGAGCAAGACACGCAACACGTGACACGTGACATATATAGCAATTGTAAGTTGCTTTGGATAAAAGCGTTAGCTAAATAATAATAAAAATAATAGTATAATGTGAATTAAACAGAAACTTATGCTATCACTCTATATGTCATTCCAGAAAGAGCGTGATTTGGAGTTGGCGGCACGTATTGGCCAGTCTCTGTTGAAAAAGAACAAAACCCTCAGTGAGAGGAATGCCTTCCTGGAGGAGCAGGTGGATCACATACGAGAAGAGGTAGACATTTTAAAAAGTAAATAAAGTACCTGTTTAGAATGTGTAGACAGTCTGTGTAGCTGGATGTTTGAGCTCCGGAAAATCAATAATGAGGTGGATATTTGAACAATTACTCTAAATGTTCTTTACACATACTGTAGTAACAGTTATATTTAGATTATGCCATTTTATGCTGGCATGGTTCTTTGTGTTAAAGAACCATCTTCTTTAATGGTCCTGTATAACATAGATTTCACCTAAAAAAGACCTGTCCTAACCAGACACAATGTGCCATGTGGTAAAAGGTATCTTTTCCATTTTTCATGTTCGTCAGTGTTTTTTTTTTTCCTAACTAGCCGCAACGACGATACGTGGAGAGTGACAGCGGACTATTTCTATCCCTGCGACTCTCGACTCGCTAACCATTCGGCCACGGCTGCAATCCTAATTCACCTCAGATCTTGAAAATAAATGAAAGGAAGTAAAAATGTTCAAACTGTGAACTTCGTGTGAACAAACAAGTGTAACCCATGACAGAAATTGTGTCAGTTACTCAGTACCTATTTTTAATGTTAAAAGGGTATAATATTTATGAATTTGATTATGTGCTTACTAATTTGTTTGCGATTGCTTGTCGCTGGAATCTTATCGCATCGTGTCTGGATAGGACGCACTGTTACTATGTGCAAATAACCTTTAAAGGCCTTTTTTTAAGGAGTAGTTCACATATACAGTATATGCCACATATAAAGCGTAAATTTGTTAGTAATGTGACGTACTGCTGATATATACGCTACGCCGCTACGCTACTTCTGACGTCATACAAAGTTGCGCTTTATACGCAAGTAGACTGACTATGGCCGTTTGACCGGAAGCTAGAATTTTACCTAATAACGTGTTAAATATTAATGTTTTTCTTACACAAACTCATCATTTTGCTTCAGAAGGCCTTTAACCCCCCCGGAGCTGTGTGGATTTCTTATATAATGGATGGATGCACATTTTTTGAGCTTCATTCTGATGGTTGCAATACACTTCCATTATAAAGCTTGGAAGCGTCAGGGTGTTTATTAATATAACTCTGATTGTATTCGTCTGAAAGATGGGAAAAAAAGTCATATACACTTAGGATGGCTTGAGGGTGAACTACTCTTTTAATAGTGCAGCAAATTATTGATTTGATCTAAAACATCTTATACTGCAGAACAAAACAACAGACTATTTGAGTTTTGATTTGTTTGTTTGAGCGAGTTTGTATGTGTGCACGCAGGTGTCTCAGCTGCGTCATGATCTCTCAATGAAGGATGAACTCCTGCAATTCTACACAAGTGTTGCTGAGGAGAGTGATGGAGAGTCTGCTTCTACCACACCGTGAGCCCATAATATTAGACCACATATTAATTTGATACCTGTGCCAAATCTAGCTAAGTATATTATTTTCAGTCAGGATATTTCTGTGTACTGAAAGAGGCACATCAGTCTGTGTTTTTTTTCGCAGTATTCGCAGAAATGACTCGTCTTTCACGCTCCCAGATTACCTCCCTCTGGATTCACTGCAGAGGAAACTCAAGGACCTGGAGGAAGAGAACCTCAGCCTGCGATCAGAGGTAAGAAAGTGACCTCAGTATTCACATTCTTCCACCGCTCATATCAGTGTTTTGCATTATATTATTCAAAACAGCCTCCAATCAAACTTGTCAGGGTTCTAGGCATACAGTATCACATTTCCAAGTATCCAACTTCATTCTCAGATAAAGACATTTGAGCGTTATCTGTGTGCTTTAGTAAAATAAGAACTGCAATACCTTTATAATAAACTCTATAATAAGTTTACATATCATAAGTTATGTTCAACGAAGTTTAGTTTTAAGTTATGTTAAAATAAGCGCTCACTTAGATATGTGAGAAAGGGAAAGGAAAAGTACATCTTTAATGTATATTTGAAAGGAAAATATTTCATGTTGTCTTGTCTTTCAGTTAAAGGGTTAGTTCACCCTAAAATGAAAATTTTGTCAGTAACTCCTCACCCTCATGTTGTTCCAACCCTGAAAGACTTTCGTTCCTCTTCAGAAAACAAATTAAGATATTTGTGATTAAGAGCTGGATTACTCCTCCAAAGGCTTCTTAAAGGAGAACTCCGGCGAACAATGAACATTTGGTCTAATAAAACATCGGTACCAAGTCAACCGTTTTCTGAGATTTGTTTTCATGATAATCGAATGTAAAGAGTTTTATCTCTTAAAACTGTTTAGCGTATAATGCTAGTAATGGGGGCATTTACTAAGTAAAATGAAATCGCTACCACTAAGAAGGCTCAAAATAGCCCCACACTAACGCAGTAACATAATGAGGCTCCATACATGCAAAACGAAGCATTGAGAACTTTGTAAGTGTACAGACCGTTACACTTTATGAAGACAGTTCACTTTGCGTATACAGACAGGAGCCATCTTAAAAAATAGTCTCGATAAGTCAAACCAAGAACGTCGTGCTGAGTGATCTGAACTGTATGAACGGTGTTCGGGGATCGACTTATCGAGACTATTTTTTAAGATGGCTCCTGTCTGTATACGCGAATTGAACTGTCTTCATAAAGTATCTTCTTATTAAACGGTTTGTACACTTACAAAGTTCTCAATGCTTCGTTTCGCATGTATGGAGCCTCATTATGTTACTGTGTTAGTGTGCGGCTATTTTGAGCCTTGTTACTAGTGGTATAAACTAGCGATTTTTTTTTACCCCATTACTAGCATTATACGCTAAACAGTTTTTAGAGATAAAACTCTTTACATTCGATTATCATGAAAACAAATCTCAGAGAACGATTGACTAGGTACCAATGTTTTATTAGACCAAAGGTTCATTGTTCGACGGAGTTCTCCTTTAAGGGATCAAAACTGGCCGGCCCAAAAGTTATGAAAGACATCGTTAAAATAGTCCAAGTGACTACAGTGGCTCAATCTTAAGATTATCAACCGACGAGAATACTTTTTGTGTGCAAAAAAATAAATAAAGAATAATGACTATATTAAACTATCCATTTCCTTCTCTGTTGGCCTTGAGATTTCACGTAGTGAAACTGCGCAAAGCTTCTAGCTTGTACGTTAGATTGAGCCACTGTAGTCACTCAAACTATTTTAACAATGTCTTTAACTTTTGGGCTGGCCAGTTTCGATCCCTTAAGAAGCCTATGGAGGAGTGATCCAGCTCTCAGATTCAATCAAAAAATATTTTAATTATTTGGAACAACATGAGGGTGAGTCATTACTGACAGAATTTTCATTTTGGGTTGAACTAACCCTTTAATGTGTGGTCATAATAATTATATTAAAAACACCTTTATAGAATTATGAAGTAAATTCATACGAATATTCACCAGAACTTCAGACTTATTGTTTAGATTTAACAGTTTTGAAGGCTAGGCGGTATGACACTATAAAGTATATAGTGCTGACATTGTAAAATGCGATATAAAAACAAAGACATTTTGCTATTTCGTGTATATCACGGTATGTAAATGTATCACACTCAGCTCAAGACTGTTTAAAGTTACTGACGCGTTAGAATGATAAAGAAATGACTGACACACCCGAAGAGCATGCAATCCCAAACTGAGTTCTCTTTTGCGACTTCTACAGTCAAATACACACACACAAAATGTCAAAATGTGCGAAAATTATTTTTCTAACCATTCTTTCACACTTAAAGCCTAATGAATCTTGTCATTGTCATCCTGGAATATGGCCATGATGTGTCTTCCTAGTCCTACACACTCCATCAATTAGGGTTATAAGAACTGTTGCCAAACGCATTACATGCTAGAAACATAATGATAATGCAATGCAATAATGATCCAATCATAGGCTCTTAATCATTTGCCTATATTTAAATCCAAACATCGACTTTATTTGGGGCCGGACAGTGTATATTAAAAAAAATGATTGTATATATATGCAGTACTATATAATAATATGCAGTATGTCGTTAACTTGAAATAAAATTTTGGTCGTACCACCTTTTATCACCCACCTTGTAGCTCTTTCTCACTGTAACTGTAACTGTATGTCTGCAGTGATGTGTGTCGGGCATCTGACCAGCAGACAGGTGGAATTTCTATGGCTATGAATGACTATGAAATCTACATCCACATCCACACAAGACCTATTCACACCCAAACATTTTAGAAAGTGAACCCAAATCTAAAGACATCACTGTATAACAATTCTCAGTGTATATTATCCCCATTAAACTGGGCCATGACATGAAAACAAAAAGCTTGTGTAAACTCCATAGCTTAGATTGTTTTGCTCTACAATATGGGCACTTAAGACCTGTTCCTCTGACAAGTACCCTAAAACAAAAGAGCAGCCATGTAAAATGATACCTCCATTGTTTATTCAGATCATTCTTTATTGTGTGTTTGTTTATAGGCAAATCACTTGGAGACAGAGACCATCTCGTATGAAGAAAAAGAACAACAGCTTGTAAATGATTGCGTTAAAGAGCTCAGTGAGTTGATCCATCTGTTACACCATTAAAGATCACATTCCCTACCAGTGTAAACTGACATTACAACCCATCCTGTACTAGTTAAATTCATGCATGCTTCATTACCTTATTGTTCCACTCTTGTAGTATAACAGTAGGGTTTTTAAAGTCATGAACTGCAGATACCATGGGGTTAGCCTACTAGGTGTATTTGAATGTGACATCTTACACATGAAAGAGTATCTCCTTACCCTTAGGAGATGCTAACATACAGCTATCCAGTATTTCGGAAGAGCTGGCTAAGAAAACAGAGGATGCCTCTCGCCAGCAAGAGGAAATCACACACCTCCTCTCTCAGATCGTGGACCTGCAGAAAAAGGCCAAATCGGTGAGTTCTCCTCACTATAGACAGTAGACATGATCAATACATGGTTCCCTGGATTAATACTTGTTTCTGATTGGTCAGTTACGGCATCCTGCAGGTACCCTTTTATATATTTCTACATTAGGAACACAGTGGTCAACTATACAGCATGGTAAAGTTCTATAGAGTGCAACAGTGGCTGCCCCCTTTTTCAGCGCAGTATTTTTTTCATAAATTTTTCCAAAAGGGATTTAAAAATAGTCATATATTTTAATATAAAAACATTAGTGAATAGCTACACTACAAAGATACAAGTCTGTATTCTTAAAGGGGTCATGAACTGTTTTTTAAAATTTTATTATATTGTTGTCTGAGGTCAACTTATGACGTTCGTTTGGTTTTTGAAGCGGGGCTGTTGAAGTAGGCATTGATCTTCTTCTGCATAGTTCCCCCACTTTAAAAAATGAGTCGTTTGCTGAGCCTGGTGTCAATAAAAGCTTTTATTGGACTAACAAGGACGTTTTCAGTTCTGAAACTTACAGGTTATTCTTATAATATGATGACCTCTTAGATGTCAAAAGCTCAAGGAAATGTTGATTTCTCAGTTCATCACCCCTTTAATGGTTTTAGGGCAAACAGGACAGGGGGAATTAGCATGAGAGCGCAATTCCAAAAAAGCACAGAACTTTCTGCACGATCTACTGACGACACGCAAGTTAAATAACACAGACGTCAGATGGATTTTTCCATTTTGACCATGGTTTGACACATGCTTTTTTTAGGCCTAAATAATGGCGCAAATACCAGTAAATTGACTAGGGCCAAATCCCCTTGCATAATTAATTTGATTTAAAGGCATTTTAATAACTGACTAATAACCTTTTCATTGCCATTAAAGGGAAATGACTTAACCTAGGAGGCTGGTAAAATGATCTTTTAAAAGAAAACATGTCAGAAGGACTCAGAGGTTTTTGCATCTGATCTTCTCGTATATATAATCAGATCAACTCGATTACATTCACAGTGCTTCATTGGAGTGGGCGGAGCTAAAGAGCTATTTTGGAGCTAGTTTTTTTTTTTTTACTTTCTGATTAGTATAATTTTCTGCACCAAAAGCATCGTGGATTATGTAGTTTTTCACGTGAAATTTCAATGTTAAACAAAATTATTTTAAAAATGAGCTGAATTAATGCAGGCTTACGGCTTCAGCAAAAGAAAATACCAAAGACTAACAACCTTTTACATCCTGAACCTAATTCTTGCACTCTATAGAGATTCATAGCAAAATATTATTTTTTTGTTCCCATTTGCTTCAAATACAAAAGAAAAAAAAAACACCATTGTGGTTTCACATTTTCTAAATTGTTCTGAAAGAGGAAAAATATATAAAGAGATGGATTACAGCAGACAAATGAAAAAAATATAATAACTTTTAATATTATTTTATATAATGATAATTTATTATTGATTTATTTGTATTAACTGGACAAGCAATGTAAAAGTGGAAAAGAAATGTAATCTTGTTTTCTATAAAACATTTTCTAATTGTAACTCATTTCAATTAGCTTGTACTGGCAGCACACTTATTCATGTGAAATGTTTGTTATTTTTCAGTATGCAGTAGAAAATGAAGAGCTCACACAGCATCTGGGAGCTGCTAAAGACGCCCAAAGAGCACTAACAGCAGAGGTAACATGCATACACACAATGTGTACCAATGTAACACGTCTCTTCCAGCGTATTCGCAAACTGTAATTCAACTAAAACAGTACCAATTTACAATAAATATAAAAAAATACTTGTGAATTGAATCCATGATATATGACTGATTTTACCTGTTTTTACCTGCCACAGTATAAGTCTCTTTATCTCAGTCTTTATCTCTTTATCTCTCTAGTTGAGAGAGCTGGAGGATAAGTATGCAGAGTGTATGGAGATGCTTCATGAAGCTCAGGAGGAACTGAAGAACTTTAGAAATAAAACGCTGCCTCTCAGTACACCGCGGCGATTCCACTCACTCGGCCTGTTCCCCATGGTGAGAAACGGAAAACAAGAAAAAAGATCGTTGTTATTTTATTAAAATTTGTTTTCTTTCGCATAACGATTTTTCGAAACATATCAATACTGAAATACCTGAAATGCTTCCAATACTCATTTCCCGCAGAATAGATACACAATACCAGCTGCACTTTCGCGCTCTCCCATCTCTGATCTGACAGCGAGTTGACACACAAACACGCCTCCCCTCACGCACTCGTTGGTGTTACAGGGCTTGAATTTAGGCTTCCACGTATTGTGCATAATTTTCCCGCTGATTTTGTACTCACACCCAAAGTGTACTCATTTAAAGTTGCTCCGAGTTCTTTTGCATTATATATTTCCCTTAAACACTCAAATAGCCAGCAGCCGTATCACCCTGTAGTAGCCCAAAACTGGTTGCCCACTAGAGCTAAGCAGGAAGAGGTTTTAGTAAGTCCAGCAGGGGGCGCTCACTCTGTGGTCTGTGTGGGTCCTAATGCCCCAGTAATAGTGACTGGGACACTATAGTGTCAAAGATCACTGTCCTTCGGATGAGACGTAAACCGAGGTCCAGACTCTCAATTGTCATTAAAAATCCCAGGATGTCCTTTGGAAAAAGAGTAGGGGTGTAAAAATTGCCCATTTGCCTCTGTCCATCATGGCTTCCTAATCATCCTCATATACTGATTGACTTCATCACTCTGTCTCCTCTCCACCAGTAAGCTGGTGTGTGGTGGGCGTTCTGGCACATCATCCAGGTGGATGCTGCACATTGGTGGTGGTTGAGTACCTAGAAAAGCTTTATATAAATGTAATGAATTATTATTATTAAATACACACAAAATAAAATGTCAAAATGCTGGTCTTGGCGAGTATTCACATAAACACAGTCAGATTTGTTTTAAGCGAACGTATACAGTTGCGAAAGACCCATGTGTAACAGAATAAGGGCCTGTTCACATATCTCATCTTTTGCGCGCTCAAGTTCGTTATTTCAAATGTAGGCGCTCATAAGCGACGCGCTCGTTTTTTCCAAGCGTGTTTGCGCCGCATCGAGATAAAAACATCTCAACTTTTCAGAATGCCGCAAGCGCACCATAAGCGCACAATAGGTCACGTGACAAGAACCAACCGGAGCGCAACCACCCTAGCGCTTTGGAAAAAGGAGAATGCGGCGCGCCCAGCGTTTTCTACGCGATTTTAGTCACTATAGGTGAATCCGGCCTAATGAATCCGTGCGTCAGGTCTTAAAGTGACAGCAGCCTAATATACTGCTCACCACATATATTTTTGTGTCAACGTTAACTGATGCAATTAATTCAAAATCCTTAATGCGTTAAAATAATTTAACGCAAGCGTGTGAAATTTGCATCATTAACATAATTTACGTCACGCAGTTAGATGACCTTAGATGTCAGGAGTTTATCACACTTAGCATCTACAATGGCTCAAGCACCTGTAGCTCTGATAGGTGGACATTTCTAACTTTAACCCCCGAGCTCTGTCATATTCTGTGATTGTTTCTGAAGCGCGAGCCCTCACGCATCACACTGTGTGAAATACAGACTGAATGGAACGTCAAAACATCCCACCGCTGCATGGCCAGTTGATAAGTAAACTCTGTTTCTTAGCTGGATAAGGCAAACCAGCGTCTCGCTAGTAAAGTTTTGATGGATGAGGATTGTAATTAAGGTAAAGATGATTGCGCTGACGTACAGGACTTGTACAGTAAGCACGTGTGAGTCTGTTATATTGATGCGTAAACGAACCGTGTATGTGTGCTCTCGACGCACCGATCGAACATTGTATTTAGGCACAGACACATTTCAATACATTAACTTTGTTTCCACATACATTCAGGATCATGTTTTGATTTGTCATGTGTATGTTGCTCTGTTTAGTCAGTCTTAATCGATCAGTGTAATGTAATAGGTATATCCAGACCATTTATATCATGGCAGTTGTCGAAGGTTTGCAGCTGGTTTGGAATTGGATCTTGACTTGTCTAAACTAATAGAGGCTATTGGCCGTTGCACTGTGCACAAACTATAGACTATGAACTATGCAAAGTTTTTATCAGTAAGGTGTTTTTTTTTAATGGGTGATTTGGTGTGCGTAAATTTGTAAATGATGTGTAATCCC